CAACGGGTTTTTGATTCTAATGGTAACATCTTGATTATACAGTGGCACAGAATCCTTTTTGTAGCAAACTCATATAAATCAAGGACGGTATTTGTATTATACTAAATGTAGAACTAACTCTAGACCTAGAACTAGAAACCGTCTGAAGACGCACGGCTAAACCCGAAACTTTCTAGTTCTAGGCCTAGTATTAGTTCTAGTTTTAAATGTTATTCAGCGCTAGATTGTTGTCTTTTTGTATTGAATTAAAAGTAGACTAAACTAGAAACATTCGGATTTAGCCATCTTAATAATTTTGTATATAACGGACTTTTGGTTATAACGGACACTCCCTTCCCCATATTAGTCCGTTATATCTAGGTTTTACTGTATTCTTATTATCCTTTACTCCAACAAAGTTGTCATCCTTACATGGTTGACACACGTTATGAAAAGCCTTTTCTTAAACTGCAAATTCATACCCAAATTTACAAGTTTACATTCCAATTGGAAAAAAAGGTTCATTGTAAACTTGAATTGAGGTTCGTTTTGATTGGTTTATTTGGTCATCTCTTTGGATCGTTTAACGTTCCTTTCGCGTTTAGAGAAGCCATTCCGCGAAAGCTTTTCGGTTCGGTATGAAAAAAGCAATTACACAGGGATGCAAATTCGTTACTTACTCGCCGATTGGGCTGTAATTGACAACCGATGCAGTTGATTATCTAGCAATTTTCAATTCGGCTCGGCACGATTTTTTTTTGTTCGTAGCTGCCAATTTCTTTTTACAACTCGCAAATTTGTTTTGTCAAATTACGAGATTACTTTAAAATGAAAATGAAAAAAAAAGGGAAATAAATAATTTCCTTTTTCGCGCGTAAATTCCGGTTGAATAAACTTGGACTTTGTTTACTAATTTGGCTCATATCATTAAAAAGGAATCCTTAAATCGCGACGAAGAAAAAGAAGAAAGATTAAATCTTCCCCCCATTCAAGGTCTTAATCCCCCATTTTTCACGGATTAATTAAAACATTCTTTCATTTGGCCCACGAGGGGCGACGCTATAAAAAAGAAAGACCAAGAGGCGAAGAAGTTGAAGGGAGACGTACGTTTTCTTTTTACATCTTCAGTTACTCGACAACGAGTGTTACTCCCCCGAAGGCGGCGTCTTCATCCCTCCATCCTTTTCCGCATGGAGAATTTTCCCGCTTGCATTTTACTTCATTTTCAACCTCTGTGTTAATTAAATTAGATAGCGCAAGGGGGAGGGCGGTCGCACGTTTTAGTTAGCAAGAATTTTGCTAACGAAGTAATTATCCGGTTGCTAATAGACCGAAGTTTTGTTCAGACGTTCAGTTGTTTAGCGCGACTAATGGCGTAACTTGAGCGGAAAGACTGCTTAGTTTTAATGAACTCACCCAGAATATACTTTATTTTATATCAAAATTTCAATTTTTTTTTGGTACATATATAATAATTAGAAAATTAACCAACATTTTAGTTAATAGTTGACTCAAAGCGAAATTTGATCAAATTCGAACACTTTATCAAAAACATGTAACTAGTGACCAATAGGTGTATTGGTCTCTTAAAGACTCAATCAATTTTGATTCATTTTCTAACTGATCCGAAATAAATAAATTTTCCATATTAGCAGTTTCTTCTGTATCAGATTCCTCGGAGTTGATCAATTTCATTCTAACAATTGCAGAGAAGTTGTCAACATTTTTGATCTTCAACTGATACCTAAAACTGTTATCAAAGATATATTTCTTTGAATGAATGTACCTGAAAAGAAATTGTTTCTGATGATGTTGTGTAACTACTACTCTTTATCATACACTATGGCCGCTTAGGCATGTATGCGCATTCCCTCTTAGTTCAGTGTTGGTAGTACAGATCTCAAAAAGTTGTGATTAGTAGCTGATTGTCTGCATCTCAGTCACTAAATCAGCTTGAAGTTAGCATGAAGTTAGCATGAAGCATTGAGGTTCATAAATAATTATCTGTTACATTTCCCCATTTCTACAAGTATTAATACTCCATTAGATATTTCTGTTGAATAATCAGCAAGTTGATTTTGCGAACGAGTAAGGAACCTTGACATTAACGCTTACACCTTAACAATTTAATCATGCAAAGCTTTTGCTGCTTTAAACCTCATAGTCAATAACTGATTTGTATTGGTTCAGATTATTCTGTGATTCTGCGTATCATGGAACTAGCTAAAGTCTCTAATTGCAGGATGGAATAATTTTTCTTGGCAGATGCCAAATCTATATATATATATATATAAATGAATGTACATAAAGACGTAAAGTTACGTAAAGATCATGTGATGATCTTTAGCAAAGTTGTTGTGCATGAGCCCACGAAGGTTTTTAAGTTGGTTCGACCAATTTTCGACAATTCTCGAATGCTGAGATGTAATGTCTTTCCTTCAAATTTATTTTAGTTGGTGGCGTAGCAACGCGCGCAGGGTACAGCTATTTACTTATATAATATCTGGGAATAGTCTAAAATAGAATTTAAACACAATCCATAAAATAGGAGAGATTTGCCAAAAGATAAGAATCACAGTCGAGAGTGGAGACAGTGGAGACTTGTTAAGGCGTATTTATGGTATTAGAATTCGTCAAATAGTTTGATCTAATAATTAGAATAATAGACGGCCTTTCCTTTCTTTTTGCTCTTCTTGCTTCTTCCTACTTCCATCGTTATAGCAAAATATATCTTGGTCAAAATGTTGCTATCAATGAAAAAACACCCGAATTTCGGAGAAAGTACGCCGAATAAATGCAGGATGGAATAATTTTTCTTGGCAGATGCCAAATTACTTATATAATATCTGGGAATAGTCTAAAATAGAATTTAAACACAATCCATAAAATAGGAGAGATTTGCCAAAAGATAAGAATCACCTAAAAATCTGATTTGCTTCAGCAGTACTTTGGGTTTGTACTAAATCGTTTGCCCAAAAACAGAAAACTGATCGTAATTGTTGCATTTTGGGAAAATGCTGTAAAATTAATGGAAGAGTAACAAAATGAAGAGGAGAAGAACAACAGAAAGAACAGTAAAGTGTTAAGTTTTTGAAAAACGATGAATGGTTAACTCATATTGTTAGCGATATGAGCAGAGGTCTTTGTCTAAAATCAAAACAAGTCAAAACAATCAACACGATGAAAGTATCAAATTAAGAATGTAGTCATTATATGTAGTATTGTAATTTTTTTTTGTTTTAATAATAACAGATGGGAAAAATGGTTGTGATTGGTGGCTGATTGTCTGAATTACGGTCTCTAAGTGCGTTATTATATAACACATGATATGTTGATGACTCTTAGCGCGGAGCATTGAGGTTCATAAATAATTATCAGTTACATTTCCCCATTTCTATAAGCATTAATGCTCCATTAGGTATTTCTGTTGAATAATCACCAAGTTGATTTTATGAACGAGTAAGGAATCTTGACATTAACATTCAATAACTGATTTGTATTGGTTCAGATTATGAAAATGAACCTTAATTAATGTGATTCTGCGTATGGTGGAGACTTGTTAAGGCGTATTTATGGTATTAGAATTGGTCAAGTAGTTTGATCTGATAATTAGAATAATAGACTTATTTGCTCTTCGTTCTTCTTCCTACTTCCATCGTTATAGCAAAATATATCTTGGTCAAAATGTTGCTATCAATGAAAAAACACCCGAATTTCGGAGAAAGTACGCCGAATAAATGCAGGATGGAATAATATTTCTTGGCAGATGCCAAATTACTTATATAATATCTGAGAATAGTCTAAAATAGAATTTAAACTCAATCCATAAAATAGGAGAGATTTGCCAAAAGATAAGAATCACCTAAAAATCTGATTTGCTTCAGTAGTACTTTTGGTTGCATTAAATCGTTTGCCCAAAAGCAGGAAAACTGTCGTAATTGTTGCATTTTGGGAAAATGCTGCAAAATTAATGGAAGAGTAACAAAATGAAGAGGAGAAGAGCAACAAACAGAAAAGTAAGGTGTTAAATTTCTGCAATGGCTTAATTAATCATGTTGTTAGTAATATGAGCAGAGGTCATTTTGACCGCACCATTTCGATTAAGGTTAAGTTATTCTTTGTCTAAAATCAAAACAAGTCAAAACAATCAACACGTTGAAAGTATCCAATTAAGAATGTAATCATTACATGTAGTATTGTGATTTTTTTTTTGTTTCAATAATAACAAATGGGAAAAGTAAAGAAAACAAAAAAATAAATAAGAAAGAGACTATTACAACCCGCAAATTAAACAACCAACCAGTAGCAAGAGTCGCTGCTACCATTTGACAAAAAGGGGAGACAAAAGAGATTGAGGGGGGCGACCTCATCGGCATATTCTGGGCAAACAACGGGCGCCGCCACGTAAAGAAGACGCCAAAAAGGCAGACGCCTTTGAATCAGAAGACGCCGCCACCACCACCGCCGCGCCATCCCCATCCGTTTCTCCCCTTTTCGGTTTTCTCCCCCCCCTCAATGGATTAATCTTCGCCACAGAGCCGAGACAAACAAAGGACCAACTATTATAAATCACGCTGGCGGCGGCGGCGGCGGCGGCAGCGTCGGAGCCGAATGCAAAGGACGAGAACGAAACGACGCTAGATGGCGGCGCGTTACGACTGCTGCTGCTGCTGCCCTCGGGGGGCGGCGAACGAGCGCAGCCCACTAATTATCGGCGGATAAAACGTTGGCGGCGGCGGCGGCGGTTGAATTGTGAAGCGACGTAGTTCGGCGGGGAGCCGATTGGGTTCGCTCGTGTCGAGCAGCGTGATTGGCCGGCTATGGACCGTCCCACTAATGGCTGCCACCCGGAGTCCGAAGCCCGGAGTGTGGACTCCGGATCCTTAAAACATTAAAACCCCCTCTCTCGTAACGAGAGGATGACAATTAATAATCGCAATATTAGTATACTTTACGTAACAATTTACGCGTTAAAATAACATTAATAAATATAATTTTTTGGTAATTTTTATTAATCTTACCTGTATCCTGTCTTCGGGAAGATCTGTTTTGAGGCTGAGCATTTCTCTTGCGTAAACATCTGGGTAGTGGGCGTCTTTGAAGGCCTTCTCGAGTTCCTCCAACTGGTAGCTGGTGAAAATCGTCCTGCCGCATAACCCACCAAGGGTAGTTAAATATGTTACACAATATTATTTCGCGCATGCACTTCCGAACGTTAAAGAAATTTGAAAAATTTTCAAAAATTAATTCCAAAAACTAAAACTTAAACTAAAACTAGAACTAACACTAGCACTATCATTAGATCTAGCACCTCATCAAACGGCTACATAGTAACAGTGCTAGTGTAAAACTAGAACTAACACTATACCTACAACTAGAATCATTTGGGTTTAGCCGCACGTCTCTAAAGACGGCTAAACCCGAATGATTCTAGTCTAGGTATAGTGTTAGTTCTAATTTAACACTTACACTGTCACTAGAACTTACATTAGACCAAGAACTAGAAACATTCGGATTTAGCCGCACGTCTTTCAAGACGGCTAAACCCGAATGATTCTAGTTCTAGGTCTTGTGTTGTTCTAGTGATAGTACCAATGCAAAACTAGAACTAACACTAGACCAAGAACTAGAAACATTCGGATTTAGCCGCACGTCTCTCAAGACGGCTAAACCCGAATGATTCTAGTTCTAGGTCTTGTGTTAGTTCTAGTTCTATTTCAATAAAAATATGCAACACTATCACTAGTGTTAGTACAAAACTAAAACTAACACTATACCTAGACTAGAATCATTCGGGTTTAGCCGCACGTCTCTAAAGACGGCTAAACCTGAATGATTCTAGTCTAGGTATAGTGTTAGTTCTAGTTTTACACTTGCACTGTCACTAGAACTAACATTAGACCGAGAATTAGACACATTCGGATTTAGCCGCACGTCTCTCAAGACGGCTAAATCCGAATGATTCTAGTTCTAGGTCTTGTGTTAGTTCTAGTGATAGTACTAATGCAAAACTAGAACTAACATTAGACCAAGAACTAGAAACATTCGGATTTAGCCGCACGTCTCTCAAGACGGCTAAACCCGAATGATTCTAGTTCTAGGTCTTGTGTTGTTCTAGTGACAGTACCAGTGTAAAAATAAAACTAACACTAGACCTAGAACTAGAGGACGCACGGCTAAACCCGAATGTTTTTAGTTCTAGGTTTAGTGTTAGTTCTAGTTTTATTCAATAAAAATATGCTATCACTAGTGTTAGTACAAAACTAGAACTAACACTATACCTAGACTAGAATCATTCGTGTTTAGCCGTCTTTAGAGACGTGCGGCTAAACCCGAATGATTCTAGTCTAGGTATAGTGTTAGTTCTAGTTTTACACTTGCACTGTCACTAGAACCAACACTAACACTTCATTCATTAACACAACATTTTTCAAAAGAAGCACGGCTTAACCCGAAAGTTTTTAGTTCTAGGTCTAATGTTAATTATAGTGATAGAGTTGGTGTTAGTTCTACTTTTAATTTAATTAATTAATATAATCCGTCATTATAATGTTATGGGAGTTATGATGTTTCGAAATTGATTAGAAAAATTAATCGAAATAAATACTTACCTATGTCGCCTTTTCTTTTTCTTCTTTTTTCCAAATCCACCACCCATTTCATCCGAAAGTTGAAAATCTTTTCCATTTTCTAACTGACCTGAAAATAATAAATATATTTTTGGTCAAAAATAATATTTTTATAGCGTGACATAAAATGTGATTCTTGACCAAATGTCCGATAAACAAAATAAAGAAGTAATAAAGTTTGTGATTTTCAGGGGACAATTTTAGAGATCTTTCAGAGCGAAAGAGAAGGACAATAGAAGGGACAATGGTCCGTAACGGCCATATTTTGGCTTGTAATGCGGCAGTAATACCGCCATAACATCCAATCACGGGGGATTTATGGTCCGGGGAGCTTGTAAATTTCGCTCCGGGCGGTCTCCGAAAATCCAATTGTGTCGACATTGTAGATTAAGCCGATTGATATTCGAGACTATGGTCAAACTAAATTGACCAGAAAGAAAGAAAACAAAGTTATACACATTTACCGAACTTTTTTGTTCGCTTTTCTCATAGGATTTTTTTCTAATTAAATTATTCGCCTCTTCACCCCATCCAAAAATAAAAAAGCGAATATTTAAATTGAAGAAGACGTCGCGAATGCGGGGTGAGACCGCATTAATAAATCCGTTCGTTTCGTTCCCTTTCATCTGACAATTTCGTCAACGACATCATGACACTGCAAATTACGGCAAACACTCTCGTTTGAACCCCCAGATTAATTTTCCTTTGAGACCGAAAACTTCTTCTCACCCCATATTTATAACAAATTGGCGAAAAATTTTATTCAACACTTTTTCGCTATCTTCTTTAATTAAAATACAAAAATTGATTCTTCAACAGGAAGGAAGATCGCAATTAGGAATCGTTTAGATTTCGGTATAGATCTCGGAACAAGGGTATTAACTTTCGCAAACAAAGCTAGTGAAAAGAAGTGAAATCCAAGCAAAAGAAGAACCCGCGTCCCTCCGATCTCTCCTCGTTTTCTCCTACAAATTGGCGAGTGAGTCTCGATGAAGTCTTAAAGAAAAAGGGGGTTGGAAAACGTCTTCTTCGTCGTCCTGCGACAGACGAAAAAGAGAGGAGGGTTGTTTACGACCCAGAACCACCCCTTATTTTGTACGATGAGGAAGTTCGCCCGCCTCATTGTGAAATAAAAATATCTTCATTACGTCGTCGAAAAAGCGACCGGGTTCGGATAAAATACGCGCGAAATCAACCCTCCAAAGACTCAAAAAAAAAAAAAACGTTTTTAACCGAGATAGAGAAGAGAAGAAGAGGGGTTTCCATCTCAGAGCAGTTTTGTTAGAGGATTAGAGGTTGAAATTGGGGGTTTAAATTTACGACTAAAGAAAAAGAAATTTCAAAAGAAAAGGAGGGTTAATTTTTTGATGATTATTCCGGAAACTATTTAGTATTTACACACACTAGTTGTATTTTGTGGGGGGTTACTAAAAGAGGTTTATTACTCGTAGGGGTTGATTCCCGGTTTCTAAACTGACCGAAACGCTGGCAGACTTATGAAATACCAGAGAGCCATTAGCGAGATTTATAGGCGACAAGTTCGTTGATTACCATTTCGACCCTCTCGATTCAGGGAGTTCACCCCTTTCGGGGTCGGGGTAATAAATTTTCTAAGTGAAAACCAAAAACAACATTAACCCCGTGAAGATTCTCCCTTAAATTCTCTTAGCATTCACTTTTAGAGGTTTTAAACCATTTCGATGATGACTTTTCTTTATTACTATTTTTCTTTTATCTTCGTTACTTCGAAAGTAAGTTTTAAATCTGATTAAAATGTACAAGCTCGTTTTTAGATGACCAAATGTTTGTAAGTGGTACCTATATTACGTTCAAACTCCCAAAGCGGCTTTAATCGACCGTCAAGAACCGTCCTTTTGGGACTGGGGTAGTTACCCCTTGAACGTTCCGGTTGAAATTACTACGTTACACAACACCCGCGTGGCGGATACTTGTACATATGCTCTCGTTGAATTCCCTAAGTGATTTACTTAATTCAATTACAATCTTCTATTTTATTTTAACCAACAACAACAATGTCAATTACTTTGTTTAGGTTGGATAGATTTTTATGTATGCTTTTAATTTGCTCCTTTTAGGAAAGCTTATGTTACTCGTTTAGGGATAAATGAATAATAAATTTAAAGTGCTGGATTGTATGAATAATTATAAGTTTCATGAAAAGTACCACTTCTCTTTACACAGATTTCTGTAACAGTATCTGTAACTCATCGTGGAGAATATAAAAAGAGAGTGTCATAACAAGTAGTCATCGCTCAAAGGATATCACCAGTTGTGTCAACTCAACTGAAAGAGTTAAACTGAAAAATGGAAAATCCGTTTATTAAAAAGAGGATACTTTAATTAATAATTGGTGATATTTCCACAAGGATCTATCAAGAAATTAATGTTATAGCGAATTTTGAAAATTATTTGAAAATTACATTGGAAAGAGGACACTTTTATTAACACTCTGGGAAATTTTCGTACTCATATTCCAAGAAATGGATTTAATACGAATTTTTAAAACTTAATCGGCGAAAATTGCAAAATTTGAAAAGATTGTCGATTATTTCAAAAATTTATTTCTCAAAAACTAAAAGCGATTTTACAAAACGGCTTGTTGCATTAAAAAGAGGATACTTTAATTAATAATTGGTGATATTTCCACAAGGATCCTTCAAGAANAGGCAAGTTTATCCATAAGTTGCGTATCTAACAGATTTAACTCAACATTGATAAACCGGCCCTTAGAAGCATAAATTGATAAAAAGTTGAGAGATAATAACTTCAGATTAGAATTAGTTTATAATTGGACTGAATTTGTAACTCATAATTGCACTAAATCAAATAATTATGATGTGGTGCTTTTAATATTAAACACTTTTTCAGTGTGGGCCTTCTCATGCAGATTGAGTCATTACTAAAGACCCGAAGATGAGAAATGAGATGCAAGTAATCCAATATCCGCTATTATACATACTTCGGGTCTGATGTTAGGAGATCATGGGATAAGATGTGACATTCTAAATGGTTGTTGTATTCATGAATACACCGGTATGTTAATTCTTCGTCTAAGTATAATTCCTTTAACCTGTATTGGCAAGTATTGTATAAGTGACTGAGAGAAACTAATTGTAGTAGCCAATAGCAACAATATCTGGAGCAAACGTGTATTTGTTTTTTGTAGGCAATCGTCATAAACCAAGAAAAAGAGATAAGTACAAGAATAGAAAAGACTCTGAAAGTGTATTATGATATAAATACAACATTTATCAGCTGTGGAGATGAAATACCTGAGAAGAGTAAAGGGAGCAACGAAGAGAGATAGGATTAGGAATGATGACATAAGGAAATAGACAACTCAGTTGTCTGGTGGGTCAGGTGAGGACATCTACAGAGAATGCAGGATAGGTGAAACGAGTATGATTAGAAAGAAGGCAGAGGAGTAGAAGGAGAAGAAATTACGAAACATTGGGATAAGGCAATAAACAAGATAATCACCAAAAGAGGAAAAACTACTGAAAGCAAAAAGTTTAGGAAGAAATAAGAAAATGTGGAATTATGAAATACTATTGTTCCTGAATATGAAACATTGCAAAATGGAAGATTAACATACAATGTGTCTCAGGGTAGGTGTTCCAAGAGGTAAATCTAAATTTTCCCATCAACTGTAGATGCTAATTTATGGTGCGCCATTTCATACCGTTTAAGTATTAGTGGGCCTTTCTTCATAAAAGATCCGTTAAATCAGTATACTTATCTATCTACAGCTACTTGAAATTTCAAAATGCAAAATAAGCAAAAATGCAAAATAAGGCATTAAGTGCCTCTCGTTCCGATTAACAGAGGTGCAATAACAGCACGATGATCCTAGAAGAGCACATGATGTGTTAACGATGATGTTCCGTTAATACAGGATAATGAATGATCAAGCACGACAAGGATCGTAATACAGTACCTTGAAGATGGTGGAATTCCAAAAATGGACTTGGATCTTAATCTTATTGAGTATATTTGGGACCGTCTCGAAAAGACGTTTAAGACGTCGCATATCTACTGCAAGAAGCATCTATTTTTTCAAGATTCTATGAATTACTAATTAAAGAGTCAAATTTCCAATACACCAAACCATTTCTGGATATAGATCTTAGTTCTTGAGATAAACATTTTTGAACTTAATCATTTACTCTATTTTCATACTTTTTTGTTACTAAATTCAAAAATTCATAGAAGATCTATTTCGTTGAATTAATTAATCCAATTTCCATAAATCCACTAAATAAAGAATCTAATTTCCAATGCATCCAAACCATTTCTGGATATCGATCTTAGTTTTTGAGATAAACATTTTTGAACTTGATTGAAATCTGTTGCTCTATTTTTACATTTTTCTGTTATTAAATTAAAAATTTCATAGGTGATTTTGTTTTGTGGAATTCATCAATCCAATTTCCAAAAATTACTAATTAAAGAATCTACTTTTCAATGCACCAAACCATTTCTGGATATCGACCTTAGTTTTTGAGATAAACATTCTTGAACTTGATTGATATCTTTTGCTCTATCTTTACATTTTTCTCGTATTAAATTAAAAAATTTATAGGAGATCTATTTCGTCAAATTTATTAATCTAATTTCTAAGAATTACTAACTAAAGAATCTACTTTCCAATGCACCAAACCATTTCTGAATATCGATCTTACTTTTTGAGATAAACATTTCTGAACTTGATTGAAATCTTTTGTTCTATCTTTACATTTTCTTTTATTAAATTCAAAAGCCAGAAACTTCAAAATGCCAGGCAATTTACTTCCAACACTATGGGCACACTCTATAGCTGAATCATTAATTTTAATATTTCGAGAAAAGACTATACCTAGAAGAAATTCAACCAGCTTCGGAGAAATTAGGCATCGTAGAGAAAAGTGTGCAAGAAACGGTGGAAGTTATATTGAATAAACCTAGATGTTTTTGAAATATTGCATAATTTCTCATTTTGAATTTAATAAAATTTGGCCGTATCAAGAGCAAAGGTTGCAAAGTTTAATTCCTCATCCTTAAAATACAGTT